ATTATTTTTGAAATAACAGGCTTAAGTCTATTAATAATAATTTTTGTGATGAGTTTATAGATAGTGTTACACAAGCTAATAGGCCTGAATTGCTGGATGGTATGCGCATTCTTGACTTTGGGAATCAGGTAAAGATAAGTGCGATTAAGGTCTGGATGGATGACCTTATCGAGGAATATTTGGTGATAGAAATGTCGGACCTTGGGCCCAACTTTGTGCCAGTATTTTTGGTAGAAATAAGGGTGTAAGTCATCTGGGCCAGGAGCTTTATAAGGTTGAAAATCATGAAGAGCACGAGTGATTTCTAAGTCAGTAAGAAGTTCATCCAGTAAATGGAAGTTGCCATGACTGATTATGGAGGAATGAGCCCGTTGAAAAATATTGGCAGATTGTGTATGTTCCGTTGCAAATAAATTTTGATAATAATCCAAAATTTGTTTATGGATCTCAACTGGGTTAAAGCACCAGTTTCCTACTGTGTTTTTTAGAGCAGTTATCATATTTTTCCTTCGGCGTTGAATGGTCGATATATGAAAAAATTTAGTGTTGGCGTCGCCATCATTTAGCCAAGTTACTCGAGATTTTAGTTTCCAAAAGTCTTCTTCTAAGCGAAGAATGTTATCATAGTCTTGGGTTAACTGGGACTCTAGATTTTGAAGGAAGGTACTGGTAGGATAGTGAATAGAGGATTATATGCCTGAGAGTCTAGCCAAAAGTTTACACTTACGATTGAAGATATTACCAAAAGTGTGTTTATTTCAGTGAAGAACTACCTCTTTGAATAAATTAGTAGTACTAATGAGATTCAAATTGTTTGCCCAGACCTGATGAACTAAGTGTTGAAACTCTGGGTGTGATGTCCATATCGTCTCAAAACAAAATATATATTTTTTTTAAAAGGCGCCTAGACTCCAAAATGAGTAAAAGAGGGCACTGATCTGAATATGTTCTAGGCAGATGTTGCACTGTTGCCTCAGGGTAGAGATTTAACCAATCATAATTTGCTAGAATACGATCTAGCCGTTCTAAAATTGTATGGCCATGACGATATTTATTAGTCCATGTATAACGGCTACTCCGAAAACCTAAATCCAACAAGTTGTAATAGTTAATACAGTTAGCAAAGTTATTTGCCCTATTATTATTAATAGGTCGACAATCAAATTTTTATGCGATCATAGTATTTCATTAAAATCTCCCCCTAATAACCACGGACCTTGAACATTTGTATCCTGGAAATGCATTAATTTATCCCAAAGAGTATTCCGAAGTTGATATATATTACTAGCATAAATTGCAGATAATAACCATTTAGGTGTGGAGGGACATAAATTTATCCTGGAAATGCATTAATTTATCCCAAAGAGTATTCCGAAGTTGATATATATTACTAGCATAAATTGCAGATAATAACCATTTAGGTGTGGAGGGACATACCTGAACGAGGCAGTGAATTTTTTGTTCTGACATTCTTAGTTCTTCCACATTAATTAGAGCCTCCTGCCACAGTACTACTAGACCTCCTACTAGTCCATTAGCGGACACATGCGACATGTTAGTGAAGTGGAAGTCGTCGCGAAGTATTGAGTGATCCAACATGTGGGTTTCTAGAAGTATAGCTAGTATTGGCCTATGATTGTCTAGCAAGGACCGGAAGTGACGCCTAAATTCAGCATTCTGGGAACCTCTACAATTCCAGATTATAAAATTCATGTTGGAAGGAGATGTCGTAACCTGATTAGTTGGAACTGGAGTCTGTGGATTGACAGCCTGCATAGCCATATGCTCCTGATCCAGTATTGGCGGAATCTCCCGAAGTATTGGAATTATGACCATGGTATATTTCTCTACTTCGCGATTCGTCGTCACACGAAAATATAGACTGCATATGACTAACTCTGGTGGGCATTTGAGTATGAACCTTTTTTCATACTGCTCTTTGAGGTTGTTAAGCTGGATACCCTTTAACCATAAAAACTCTGTGTGTGTTTCCCTCATCTCCGCTAGGATCTCCACTAGCTCCTGATTTATTTGTGTGTCAAGTGCGTTGGGAGATGGAGATGGAGGTGGAGTTGATGGAGGGGTGGTCTGTGGATTCAGTGGGTCGTATGGACTTGATGGTGTCGAATAAGGGGAGAGTGGGTTGAATGAATTGATTGGTTGAAATCATGGGGCATAGATTTGACCCTAGTGATGGGGAGGATAGAAAGGGAGTAGGTTCATGTTGGGTTCACTTGAGGATTTGGAAGGTGCATGGGGTAGGACCAATATGGTTGGTGTGAATTGGATGCTTGGTGATCGAGTAGTAGAGGTGTCTGGGCCGTGTACTATTGGGATTGGGCATAAGCTTCCATGCCGAACCTCATTCCATCTGTTACAATCTCAGCAAGATGTGTTGGATTTTGGACTAGAAAGGACTACTTCTTGGTTGTTGAGCTCTAGTGTGAAGATCAGTGCATAGCCCTGAAGGCCCATCTCCAGCAATGATTGGAGTGACTGGTCCATTGATTGAGGTTGGGAGGTGTAAATTAGTGGTGTTGTTGGATGAGGAAATTGTGGACCTTGCATGGTCAGACGAGGAAGATGGAAGAATTGATTATTGCATTGAATTGATTCCCTGAGGTATGTGTTGTTGTGGGTGCTTGGGAATGTTGGACGTTGCATGTTTGGGTGGGGAAGGCTGGACTGTAGCAGAAACTGATATAGAAGTAGACTGTGTATTATTCGGTTGAGGACTGGTAGTAGGAGGCTTAGTTAGGGGTGTTGAGATAATTGAAGGATTCGTATTTTGTATAGTGGGAGAGGCAGATTTGGTAGTGGCATGATCATCATGAAGATTATCACATGGTGTTGAATGATTATGTTTCATCGGAAGTGAAGAAGTATTTGATTGAATAGGTTCATAGGCTACTGTAGCATGCAAACTACTGTGATTCATGCTGAGTTGTGATGAAGAAGGTGAGTGAGCGTGGTTGGCTGTGATTAAGGTGTCATTGGGTGATAGGGCTGTTTGTATGACTGTAGTAGTATGTGAGGTGTTAGTATTACGTGGCTTAGGGGTGTGCATTGGCGTGTGTAGGCTACAGTTGGGAACTAGGTTTTGTGGAACCAAGGCACTTTTATGAGAGCTAATGTAGAGAAGATTATTATTGGTGGGTTTGGTATGTGGAATAGCCCATGTAGAGGTCCGATTTTGCATCTCCACTGTGGGGTTTGACTTAGTAGAATTATCAGACAATGTGATGGGCTTGGGAGATGGGCAAGTAGTTTTTGGGCTTGGATCATTGGAGTCCATGTTGGTGGTAAGATATGGATATGTAAAGCTACATTATCTTGGAATATAGGTAGACGTTACAAAAAATATGGTACAATAAATTAAAAGTATCTATGTAGGTATACCAATTAGTTAGGATTAAGTTATAGTCCCATTAAAATGTCAATTTAGGTCAATATCTTTTAGGAGTCTTTTGATTTTATCAGAGATTTATATATTAATAAAAACTATAAAAATACTTTTCTTAAATTTTTATTTTATTTTATAATTATAGATTAAGAATTTAAGATAAGCTTAAATAGAACAATATGAAACTAGTAAATTTATATAGCCGACTTCAACTTACCGTAGATTGAAATTTGATTTTCTTGTTAAAATAAGCCTATTTGCAACAGAAAAATTTAAATTTTAAAAAAGAAATATAATTTGTTTTCGGAAAGTCACGTTTTCGTTCTCTTGGAGCGTGTACATGTAATTGTGCCCCTTCAATTGACAAACAAGTCAAATGATTTAATTAGTTACGATTATATTGAATCTAATTTTCATATGGCTTTTCAATTCAAATCACTCATTAACTTAGCAATAATTTCATTCTTATCTCTCTTTTTTCCATTCCCTAAACAAGTCATTTTGCATTTAATTACGCAAACTCCTTAAATTAAATATTACGCACATTACTCTCTCTCTGTGCATTTTGTTTGCGATCTCCCTCCGGTATCCACGCCTTCTTATGTTATCTTTTTCAGCTGGATTCTCTCTTCAACTCTCTTCCTCCACTTCTCACTTAGTTTTCATTTTCCTCAACAATTACAAAATCAACCTCAAGTCAACCCAAATTCACTCTTCCCTCCATTCCAATTGCCTCGATTTTTGTTAGTATCGGAGCGTCAAAGTGCTGAATCTTAATCTCGAGATTGAATTGGGTATTCAAATGGTTGATTGCCGAAGTTTGATTGAGTTTTGTAGGGCATATGAGCAGCACAAAAACATGATCAAATTCAATTCACATATCAACAAAAAACACTCATATAATAATCAGAAAAATTCATTTTGCTGTGATCACTCCCCTTTTGCTGTATCACTTGATGCACTTATATTACTCTTAGTACTCGGATCACTAGGGTTTCTATTAATCCCTTATTTCAAATTAATTTTCACCCAAATTTCCCCGATTATAGTTGAAGTTTTGATCGAGGTGATCAACAATTCCCCTGTAGCGTATTTCGTCGGATTGTTTGTGGCGTTGATCGGAGTAATTATTTTAATTGTAATTTGGGAAATTGTTGATTTGAGATCGAGGAAGTGTGGGAATCCGAATTGTCAGGGTTTAAGGAGAGCAGTTGAATTTGATATACAATTAGAATCGGAGGACTGTATAAAGTGTTTGCCATCGGATCGGGATTTGAATTCGAGCTCGTTTTATGATTATGGAGTGAAGCCGTTGGTGTTAGGGGAAGAACGAAAAGAGTTGGAGGCAGAGTTGAAGAGGATGGCGCCGCGTAATGGACGGACTGTGCTTGTTTTCAGAGCTCCATGTGGATGCCCTGCAGGTAGATTGGAAGTTTGGGGGAATAAGAAAATTCGTAGAATTAAGAAATGAATAAGTTTCTTGTAGTTTGTTGAAATCTTATGAATTGCTACATGAATAAAGTAGGCGATACTGAATATAGTATGGACATTTCCTGTTGGCTCTTATGGAATAAANTATTTTTGGAAATGCTTTATTCTGCTCCCATCTAGTTGATGGAGTGATAGGTGAGTATAAAGAAGGGTGGAGAATTGTTTTTCCTTCTTTCTTTTATATACCACACTAATATTTAGTGAAGGAGGTAAATTTTTTGAGTGTTTGTTGAATTCAAAGTCCAGGACCAATTTTGTCTTCGCTTTTTTCACTCTTCTATGCAGTTCTGCATGTTTTGATTTTACGGTCTTGAACCTTACCAGTCTGTTTGTTCACCTTCTTGTTGATTTGTCATCCTATTGGTCTTTCTAATAAAATGCCAAAATTGTCTAAAATATATATAGCTGCAAATTATTATGATAAGAAATTAATACCTGTAAATATTTAATTGGTAAAGTAAAAAAAATATCTATATAGCCCGTATGATTTTTTGGTGATCCAGAACACCGTGGAGCAGATAGCAAGCTTTCTCTAGAATTTTTCTTCATTTCTTTGCATGTGATGTTGGATAGTATCAATGCAACACATTTTACAGCACCGTCAATTCTTCTAACCTTTTTCATATTTTTTGACCTGTTGATGTCAAAGGAACCAGGGGGACACCAAATGGTAGTAAGATGACTGCAGTTCCAAATAATGACTATGAGAGTGGTTTTTAAAAAGGAAGAAGATAATAAAAGAGGTTTAGAAAGATGAGATTGCAAATGCAAGATTGCTCATTACTTCTGTCCTTTCTTTCTTTTCAGTCACTATGCGTTTTTTACTTAAGAAGTCTTTTTCATCTTCCTTTTGTGCTTATGATAGAGCTTGCAAAGCTCTGTTAGACCATAGAGCAGAGATCTTATCATGGGGTATCAGGTCAGATAGAGATGCGAACAAAAGCTTGCCGGCTAGTTTAGGGATTTCTAATTTCATCAGGTTGCCCAATTGTTAATCCAATTAATTTGTTGATGAGGAACATAATTTTGCATGTATCTGAGGATTCATATGTATTGTTCCATTAGTGACTTCCTGATGTGTAGAATTCTTTATAGTGACACAACGAACAGATCTTTTCTTTCTTTGACTTGCTTCTTTTAAATAATGTTATGTCTTATCAGTTACTGGCATTCATATTCTTTAATTGGTATCAAAGTCGCATTGGCAGATAATAGATAATTTAAGGGTGAAAGGAGGTTTCCTAGTTCTTTCACCATGAGCTAGCCTAGGCAACTTGGGTGATGTTATGCAATAGTTGGACTTGATATGAAATAAAGTAAACATTATGTGGTAATGAAAGTATTCAGTTACCCAAAAACAAAAAAAGTAAACCTGTTATGTTGGAGGATTGTTAGGTATATCTTGTGCAGATATCTGACAAGTCTGTGACAATTTTTTGTTGAATTGGGAATAAATGTTTTAATCTTCCAACTCAAACAAATGTTATTATTAAAGCTCTTGGAATTAGATATATATAGTTCATTGTGGCACTCATAGCCTCTCTACTCCTCCGGAGTAGGGGTAAGGTATGTGTACACACTACACTCCCCAGACCCCAATTGTGGGATTCCACTGGGTTGTTATTGTTGTTATTGTTGTATTGTGGCACTCATACACCTAATCATTTGACTGTATATACAAATGGTAATTATAGGAGGAACTCTACTATGTTTATCTTTTCTTTGACCAAAATGGAAAAAGAAAATGCATGTTGCCATTGACTCCCTTGTTGTGTGTGAGAAGGAGATCAAATCATTTATATTTTGCCGAGAACATGCAAATTAACTTGTTTGCAACTGTTTCTATGCATGAAGTTGGCCTTAGTTGCTCATGTGGTAGTTCTCTTTTTTGTTTGGGAAGGCAAGCTTGGCCCAAAGGATGGAGGGAGTGGGATTTGATATCAAGACCTATAGGTGTTTTTCTTTTTGATAACCGTGGTGTCTGGGCCAGCTTGCGCGCACCTCGACTAATTCTACCGGATACCTGCTACCTCCCACCGGCAACAGGTACCAAGTAACTCTGTCTACCAAAGCTTGGACAGATGGGAAATCACCTTGTAGACTAGTAGTTTTGCCTCCGCCGGGATTCAAACCTGAGACCTCATGGTTCTCAATTCACTTCATTGACCACTAGGCCACACCCTTATGTGCTATCAAGACCTATGGGTTTAATTTGATTATCTAGCCAACTTCGCAGGGTCTAGGAAAAAAAGTTGTGCAGTGCAGGAGTTTGTAAGTCAACGTGGCAGCAAATTTTCCTTGGTTTCTAGAGCTCTATCTATGGGAAACGAGACTGGTAGTATCTTTAGTTCAACATTTCTTAGCTTATTTTGGCATTAGGTGAGGAATGAACCAACGAGTGGTAGTTGGTAGTCTAGCAGTTCCTTGAAAAAAACTTTGACTTGTCCTCGCTGTTATAAACTTAGGGATCTCTCACTTCCCTCTCCCCTTTAGTTGTACTTGCACAAACAAAACACACACACTAGAAGTCCATGAGAAGCATACCTCTATGATCAAAGTTAAGAAAGACACTAGATTGGGATGGTTTATATTAGATGCTAAAAGATCAGATTATGCTTTCACAGATATTCGTTCCAAAGTTTCTCTTGAACTTCCCTCTTTCATACTCCAGGAATGGTTGGTGCAAGTTACGGTGTTTAGACATGGTCTTGCTTCTCTAATATGTTGAGATTGAGTGGAACCTTGAGACTAGTAGCTACATGAAAAGAATATAAGTTTCCTCTGAATATGGGGAACATGTCTTAGACTTAAGATAAAGCACAAATGATGATATGCTGTTTCTTTAAAAAGCGTGCTAAGTAATGGCTTCTGAGGATGTACATTGATCGAATATAATAACTAAGGGGTGAATTATTGCGAGAGCATGATCAAACTCAATCCCTTCCACAAACAAAAGCGTGGTATTTAAGTGGGGACGGTAGAGGAGCGGCCCATTATCACCCAAGTTTCATACCGTGCACTTCTGGTGATTATAAAAAAAGGATCAAATTCAAACCCCCTCTCACCGAGAAAAAAAATGCAGAAGCTGGGTGTTCTTTAATTGTTACATGGTGGGAGCTGCTCAGTCTTCACAAGGTATAAACATGAACCCCAAATACTGATGCTCTCAACATTTTATCTATTTCTTTGAGTAATGCGTGTAGAAAGCTATTTGGTAAGAAACACTCTATGATTAGTAGTATATCTGTCATTTGCTTCGCTGATATATCTGATTAAAGATTGACTTCGCCTGACCAACTCAATGTGGAGAATTTTTATTTTGGCTCAAGCAGTAAACACATTTTGTTACGTTTGAACGCCTTCTTTCTGCAGCTAATGATTCTAGGTTACCTTTTCCCTCCCTTTTGATAAGCCATGTTTTAGTGAATGGTAATAGTTTCTGCGAGAAATAGTTTATTGTTTTGACTTGACTAAGAACTTGTTTCTCCAAGCAAACTAGAGGGACACTACAATTGGTAGTCTAACATCAAAGGTTCAAGAGCAATTAACTTGAAGTCCATCTTTTGTAGCATCCATGGAAATTTGAACACATTTTTGGTTAGTAACATCTCTCGAAGTTTCTCAATCGACTATCTGTAGATGACAATACTTAGCTTGAGTTGATCTAGTTGCTGCTTGTTTAATAATTGACATGGGAGTATATGTACTCTGTTCCTTTTTGTTTATATAAGATAAAGAGTTGTCTTGCATGAGGTTGTGCTAAACTGCTAATAATTCGTCAAGACGACAAGTAAACTTTCTGACTATCTATATGAAGGGACACATAAAGGACAGTTGAATTTCATCTTCCAATAAAACAAGCATCTTTGTATTCAAGTCAAATGAAGACAGAAAGGTGCTTCAATGTGCAGAAACCTATCTCTCAGGTATTCACCTACAGCTTTGGTCAACTACTGTAATGGTGAAAAGATATTCTAGACCATTATTTGTTTTTTGAGCTGGTTATGATCACTTAAATGTGCACTTAATCTCCACCAGAAAGATTTAGCCTCCTGAAAGTAACTTAGCAAAAAGTCAATGTTAGAAATGACCAATACAAACATGGCATGCTCTACTAATAATTGGGCCAGTTATGTCCAGAATTTCATCTACTTGTAGTTTTTGCTTTACATTAACAAGGCACAGACCAGTAAACCTATCCCTGAATTATAGCTTTACTTGCTATAAAAATTTTCATGCTTTCTGATAAATTGTTCTGTCTGATACATTAAATTGCTCCTTTTTATTGATTCTAGTGACTACGGCATCTTAAAATGACCCTGAGATAATGTAACTCGATAGTATTTGTCTCCTATCTCTGTGTATTATCGTTTTGGTATGTCACTAAAGGATTTCTAGTCTGTGTAGAGAAAAAAGCCTAGAGGCAGTCTTTCTATGAGAACCATCAACTATTTGAAATCAGTGCCTTGTTTCTCATATTTTACATCAAAATGTATTCCTCCAATTCCCAAACTTCAGTATCCTAATTCCTTCCTTTCATAGGCGACAAACTAGGAGAATGATATAGTGAAACATGAAAGATTTAAAATAGTAGAGGTAAGGCTTACTTTACTGAATGGAGACTCATAGTGAGATAATGAGGCATTAAACTAACTACAGGATTCCAAAGAGACTCACATTTTAAGCAGCTTTATATGGTACTAGCATCTGTCGCGTATCGCTCCATGTGGATATGGCTTTTTTGTCCCCGTGTTTGATCTTCAATTGTCAATTTTACTTGAGCATAGTGAACTCTAGATAAAACTCACTGTGCATCATGCGGTTGAAAGAAACAACATAATAAAGTGTGCAGGAGAAATCTAATACTCAGCCATAATTATCTATTTGACCAATGATGTGAAAAGTTTTGTCATTCTTTCATTTTTGAAAGAGCATTATTTTTTGGAAAAGCATTTTTTGAAAGAGCATTTTATCTTCCATAGCTTTCCTTATCGTTAATGCAGTGTGTCAATGCCTGATTTTCGTCTAAAGCAATTAGAGAAATATTATCACAAGGGCAAAACTACAAAAAAAGGTTATATGTCTATACTTATAAACACTTTCTAAAATGAAGCATGTAATAACATCTAAAGCTCTGTAGTGAACTATAAAGTTGGGGCAGCTGCGAGGAAGACTGACCCAATTGTCAGTCAACCAGTGAAACTGGCATAACCAGCTTTTAACTTGCACCTGGTTGTTCTTATGCCGGATCTGGTTGTTCAGGTTTGATCTTCTTTCGTGCATCAAACCTTTGCGTGTCTTGTGTGTTTACGTGTTTTAAACTGCCCTTCAAACTCATGTAAAATTGCACTTGTAGTTAGAGGTTCCAATCTGAAATAAGCTATGGATTAATCTCACCTTTTGGAGCATCTGAGTTTTGTATATCCTGTATTTTGCTATGTTCTTTCGCATGGTTTTCAGTGACCTAACACTTTTGGCTCATTCTTTTAGATGTCTATTATCTGCAGGCACAGAAACCTATTTTTTCAGTCATTTGCTTTGTTAATACATTAAGACCTTTTCCAAATTGACACAGAAGTGTATCGTCCTATAGTAACTATTGACTCTTTTTAGAAAACATTCATTGATTTATTAAGGCATATAGTCAAGTTTTAGATGCTAATTCCTCTTGGGCTTCCATTACTTTGGAGAAAATGATACTCATACCAGAGCAGTGAGGCTCCCAAGTACACGATTGGTTAGGTGTGTCCTTGTCACTGTGGAAAACTGGTACTTTCTGTAGTTGATCAAGAAATGTATCAGGTGGAGGGCTTGGGCTTCCATTCCACTGCAAAGAAGTGTATCAAATGGATTTTAATTGTTTTACAGTTTAACTAGGACATCGTTTAAGTACAGTTTGCATCATTGTCTGTTATTTTTTCATTACTTCAAATGCTGAATTTTACTTGGACTTCCATTCCTCTGCAAAGAAATGTATCAAGTGAAGTTTAGTGTTTTAGACCTACATTTCGTCCAGGTTTTACTTATCATCTATTCTCTTATTTTTCGTAAGTTCAGATGCTAAATTTCCCTTGGTCGTCCATTCCTCTGCAAAGAAGTGTAAGTTGTCTAGACTTCATTCCATCTTTGTTCAAGTTATCCTTTTCACCATTTTCTTTTACTTTTTTTCATTGCCTGTCTTTGTTTTTGGTGTTTTTATCTGTGAATCAGGATTGTCTTTTAAAGCTACTAGTTGATTGGAGTTTCCCACACTAGCTTTGTTTTCCCTTTTATTTATTTTTATTATTGTCTGTGTGTGTTGTGGTGTTTATAAACTTAACTTGATCCTGTACTCATGAGGGGGAAAATAACGCCGTATACCCTCCTTAACTATGCCTCAACTATGAAAATTACACTGCATACCTGTAAATAAATTACATAGCATATCTTGATAGACAATCTTATGCGTGTAACAACCACGATTAGTAAGGGAATAATATCCCTCAAATGTAGCCTTAATTATTGAAACGTGTGCTCAAGTGAATTTTGAGATTCACATCTCTCCTAATCAAAACCATATTCCTATTTTAAATCACAACTTCATTTCTGATATTTGTATACTCTATACCTTCAAATCTTCCCATTTGAGCGAGTTCAAGTTTATGCACGTACAGTTAAACTAGGGCTGTTAGGCTAGTTAGGGCTGGCGCCTGGTGCAACCTCATAATATCAAGTCTCTGAATTCTTCAAGTTTATGTCCAAAGCTTTTACAACCAAGTACGAGAATTTTGTTATACATTCCTAATGTTCCGCCGAGGACAGAATTTCGTGTTTTTTTACTTTATTTTTTTCAGTACAACATCTTCGGGGAACATTAGAAAATGAGTTAATTCATATTATACCCACCTTTATAGACTCTACAGTAAACAAATATAATACATCACGTTGTTGTTTTCAATATCAAACAAAAAGATCTAAATATATACAATATTTCAAAGAGGATAAAAATGAAGCATAACCTAACACACGTAAAATACAACAACAACAACAACAGTGTAATCCTACAAGTGAGGTCTGAGGAGGGTAGTGTGTACGCAACCTTACTACCTTGTGAAGGTAGAGAGACTGTTTCCGATAAAAATATAAAGTAAAAGGTGAGCGATTTTTGGTTGCTGTTTAAAAAATATCCAACATTTGCAAAGTACTTAAAGTTGAGTACTCATGTGGCCTGAGTAAACTTAATATTCACCGAGCTGCTCCTTCTTCTGCTTTTGTTTGTGAAAAATATGGCGGATACTATACTTCTCGACAGTAGATGATTTATTTTTTAATAAGACGAGACAACTAGATAGCAGGCAAGGATTGATAGTTTATAACACAACATTGGTTACAATTCTTCCATTTATGGATTAGTTCAAATTTCAGGCCAAAGAACTGCCACTGTTCAAATTGCAGCTCAATGGACTTTATCTGAGTAACTTTAAAGTGAATCGTGTCCAATGATGAATCTAGACCAACACAAAAAGGAGGAGCGAACGGTTTTAGCAACCGAAAAAGAAAAGAATTATCATAATTTTGTATATTATCCGCTCTAAACAAGAATTGTTTATAATTTATATATAATCTATTATTAGTGCCTTAAATTGACCCTTTTCCTTTTTTTTTCTGATCTCCTCTTTTCCTATTGCCGCCTCTCTCCTTAAAATAAAAAAGAGAAGATGAAAGTCTACGGAAGTCAAGTCAACTGGGCAACAAATGTAAGATTTTAGCAGAAAGTCGTGTTTTTAGGTAATGCACAAGCTTTTTAACCCTTTTTTTTTTTCTTATTCTTCTTAATATAGTCTAATCACAAGTAGTTGTAATAACCAAGATTGCTAAACTTTGTGCCACGTTCCAAAAGGTCTATTAATCTGGAAAATGCAGTTACAGGTCCAAATTTAGTGCTGGATACCAAACATTGAATAAGATACTCTGTATATGTGGTATAGGGGTGTACATAGGTCAGATTGATTCGCATTTTTCAATTACCAAATCAAATCAATGATGTCGGGTTTTTAAATTTATAAACCAAACCAATAAAGTCAGGTTTTTCAATCTCGAATTTTTTGGGTTTTTTTTCCGGGTTTTCGAGTTTTCCCCAGTAAAGTCTTAATAGCACAAAATATGTAATATGCTCATAATATTTATTTTAGTCCTAGTAGGATACAAATATAAAATATATTTTTCGAGAAAATAAAATAATAATATGAGATGAGTCTTAACATTGTACTAAAATATTCAATAACATATATAATAAAATCGCACAAAGAAAATATTATTAATTAATACACCATAATAAAAATTAACATAATTTAAAAATATCATATAGGTCGTGCTAAAATAAGTACAACTAATAAGTACTATTAATTACACAACTAAGCATAAAAAAAGATAAACTAGATTATACATTTTCATTATAAATCAATGCAAAACTAAAAAATAGATATCCAACACTATTGTCATTCCTAGTGTTGAATTGAATTTCCTTTATTAGCATTAGTATTGATTTGAACTTTATTTGACTTACTACCTTTATGGGCTATAAAATATATTGGACCATTCAATAATGTTAACTCCAAACTTTAAATAATACTTTTAAAGTTAAAACTGTAAACAAGTTTAAGAAATATTTATAAATTATATTACAATAAATATTTATGTGCATAAAATATTTTTTAAAATTGTATAAATGTAATGTCGGGTTGGTTTGGTTTCGGTTTGACTTTTTTTAGTTAAAACCAAACCAAACCAATTATGGTCGGAGTTTTTTTTCCAACACCAAACCAAATCACAATCGGATTTTTTTTCTCGGTCTGACTCGGACTATCGGGTTGATGCGCTTTATCGGTTTTCTTTGTACACCCCTATGTGGTATAACTGTTGGTATTTCTAAAGGTATATCAGACGTAATTAGCATTACGCATAATCGACATATAGGTTACATTAACAACTAGCTTTTCTCACATAATCAATAGTATATACTTAAAAACGAACTTTATACAATTTATTTATAACTTATCTATAACTTTCATACATCATTATTACCCAGTTAAAAATAACTACAAAATCAACTTTAATCTTCACCAAAAACTATCAAAATTGAGATATAATCGCCAAAGAATATTCACGGTCGTTTGCAATGACACCCAATCAAAATAAGTAACAATTAAAAAAAAATCGAATTCAAAATCAAAATTTCAAAGCTTTTAATGCTTTCAATGACTGGTGGGGAAACAGACAATAACTGGTTCGATGGTGATAAAATGAATCTAGCACTACAATACTCAAATTGCAACCAACCCAATTATTTTCAGTATCTTATACTATGCAATAACATTGATATTAATCCAACTTCTCAAAGTTGAGATTCAAAGCACACCGTTCCGTTTTCGTTTGATTACTTTGCGCGTCATTGTTTAAAGCACGCATTTCTCCGAAGTGCATGGCTTCGCCCATTTGCTTTGCATTACTTCAAGCAATAACACTACGCAACAATGAAAGAGAAAATTCGACCAAAGGAGCTGACAAGGAATGCCCAAGAGAGAGGGCATAACAAATTTGTTATAAAAACATCTAAGCAGGAGTAAGAATATAACAAATTTGTTTTCTTAAAAAGAAGAGAGAGATACATGGAAGTGGTAGATCTATAGAATTTGATTTCCACGTTAAAAGACTACAATCAAAGATACTCATTTAAAACGTATTTGTATATAACTGGTAAATTATATATCAACTTGTAATTAAATTAAAACTTAAACAGTGAGGGTAAATAAGTTTCTAATATAGTATATAGGTAAAGATCTCAAAAGAAAAGGAAGCAACAATTGAAGAGTTGCAGAAGAAGCGGATCTTTGCCGCTCAAATCAGGAAATGTGGTTATATTTACACTAAATTTTAAATTGTGGCTATGTTTTAAATAGTGACATTAAAGTGGCTATGCCACATTATTTATACGTAAAAATTAATTTTCTTTGACCATACTTTGTATTTATTATTTTATGGTTTGAAGCAGTATTTCAAAAGGTATTTTTGAGCGAGTCCCGAGGCTGGACGTAGTAAAAACACATTTGAGCGATACGGAAAGGCAAAAGTGTCGAGAGGCATAAGCCCTATTGTTCTTGGCGTACACTTAGGCACTGGGCGAATATTTTCTTGGGGCCCAAAATATCTTTCCAAATTTGAATTAAAATTGCTATACAAGTCCTTAATTTAATACCAAAAAATTACAAAAATTAACTTGTTATTACATTCTAAAAAATTAAAAACTTAAAAGTCAAAAGATTTTTTATTCATAGCCCTAATTTTTATTCTTTCTCTCAATCTTTTACCGGGTAAAGGAAAACTTTATCAATTTGCAAATTACAAAAGAAAAATGCATCATCCTTAATGAGTTCTTATGGTTCAACGCCTTCTAATTATATGTTCCTTCTTTGCCTTTTTTTTTTTTTTTTTTTTTTTTTTTTTTTTTTTTTTGCTTTTCAAGTTATTTTCCTCTTTAATTTCAAGTTAGTTTATAAATATCTACTCATTTTTTTCAGTCTAATTAGTTTATTTGATAAAGCAGCTTTGATTAGTTCTTTAGTTAATTGCTGATTCAGATTAGCATTTCAAGATGAAGTAGTTATATATACATTCCACTTATTTTATTTTTTTGAAATTTCTATAATTTAACTTATTTTAATATTTAATTTATTATTTATTTTATAATATACCAAAATATTAAAGATTCGTAGGGCTTATACCCAACGCTGTATCAGGTAAAATGTCTCGCCTCGCACCCGCGCCTTTAAAAACACATGTTTGAAGCTAATAGTATTTTTATATTTTAAGTATGTAGTTTATGTTTTTAAAAGATATATTAATCAACCCTGTAAACTCCATACTGAATCAAACCTTTGTGGGGTGGGAGAAGTATATATAAAAAATTCTTCAACATGTTTTACAACTTTCAGACTACCAAAAGCATTATTCTTAATATCCCTAAAAAATTATATTAAGTTGAAAGACAAGGATACATTAGTAGGAAAATAAAGGTTTTCCTTTTTCTCACTTTATTTCTTTTCTTCCTTTTCTTTTCTTGGTAGGAGGGAGAGGGGGCACGAGAATCAAATAACTTCAGGAATTAGCACAACGAGTTTAAAATGTATGCATTGATTGCATAAATATTTATACAATCAAAGACGTATTGCAAATTGTTTACCCGAAAAACGGATGAGTTGAATTTGTACATAGTTCTAAGAGTATATGGTATAACTTGACATGAATCGTAAAGAGAAGTAGAAATATTAAATATTGACCGTAAAGGATAAAAAAATAAGCAAAATTGAAAAGAGGATGATTTATGAACAAGCAAGATAAAATGATGTATGAAGCTCAAAAGGATAATCTTCTAATATAGGAATGTATCAACAGAATTTTAG